AAAGATGATTGACAAGGAAACGTCAATGTTACAATCACTAACACATTTTTTTTATTTTAACCATGTTTAAAAAATATTATCACAAAAATTAAATTAATTCCAACCAGTCAATCAGAATCTGAGATTTATGGTCTTTAAGGAACTTAAAGGAACACTATAGTGTTAGGAATACAAAATTGTATTCCTAACACTATAGTGCCCCCCTGTTCCCCTCCACATCTATGTAAAGGTCCCTCGACGCTGTGTTCCACCTCCTCCTCCAACAAACGACGGGGAGAACCTAACATGCAGCATGCATTAGGTCTTCCCCATAGGAAAGCATTGACAATGTGGTTTTTCAACACGCTGGATGTCCTCGTGTAAAGCGTGGAAACGTTCAGCATCATTTCAAGGAGTCAAAGTCCCTGGAATTGCATGCAGTGCCTCTAGTGGCTGTCTGGTTGCATCCAGACCACTTCAATGAGATTAAATGGTCTGAGTGCCTGCAGTGTCCCTTTAAAAAATTTCAGTGAAGCAAAAAAAGAATAGCAAAATGTAGGCCAAAATAGCGGATTTAGAAAAAAAATACCCACATCAAATATAGTCACAGCTCTGCTAGTCTAGTCTGAATTTTGCAATTTATTTTATAATTCACTCTTTAGTGAATGAACTTGAAACAAAAGGTAGCTAGAAATCTTTTAATCAGTATTTATAATAAAATAAGCAAGCAAGACAAAAAACACGCTGTTTTGCAATGTTACACAGTTGTGTTTAGATCGTTTGAGGGCAATGCCACTTTAAAGTACATCTGTCTTCAATTAAATGTATTTAATCAAAATATTTTAGAAAGTCAGAAAACACAAAAAAGTATAAAAGTATAATCAATAAATATTATCGTTAATTTTCTGGTCAATTTATGTAGTATCTGTAATGCAGAAACTTTTTATAGATTAATAGATAATTTTACATTATAAATTGTATTTATTGAGTGTAATTTTGAAGAGTACATATACATACAAAAAATTTTTTGGGAAAATAAAGAGTTATATATTTTCAACACATTATAATGGGATACAATGTTATACATTTTAAATGAACTGACTTTGTAGACACTTTGTTAGATGAGAAATTAATTCATTATCTAAAATTTTGGCCAATATTGTTAAATAGATAGAATCAGAAAATATTCTTTGAATTTTTTTTATAAAAGCTGGGGAAGCAAGATATTACAAAAATTATTGCCCATGTCCTTATGACATAGACCAACAATGATTGATAACATAAGGCGATATGAAGAGATAAATCCTATACAAGGCTGGCTCTTTGTCAATCAATGTCATAAGCTCTGTCCTTTCCAGCTGAAAGTCTGCATAGAGAAAACATGTCAAGAAAATTGGAAGGGAAGCAGTGCCTATTTTGCCTGCTTATTTCCAATGGGTGCCCTGGCTGTACATAGAGTTATCTGGAGTATGATAATTCTTTAATTACATTAAAAAAGTTAACACAAGTTAGTTTTAGGTGATTTTCACATTTTTATTCAGTGGTGTAATTCCCCAGAGTAGTCATGGTTCCCCTTTAAAAAATGATTTAACGTTTTATAAAATGTTATCATAATATATAAAGAGTTTAATGAAATGCAGATTAAAGTCATACTCTACGCACCAAAACACCTTTAGCTTACAGCAACGCTATAGGCATCAAAAAAACTTTAGCTTAATGAAGACATTTTGGTGTACAGATAATGCTTCTAAAGTCTGATGGCTCAATTCTCTGCCATCAAGGAGTTAAATCATTTTTGTTTCTGTAGCCCTAGTCACTCCTCCCCTGGCTGTGACTCACACAGTCTACATGAAATAAAAAAAAAAAAACATTAACAATAATAAATAATAGATTAGAAATTAAACATACTCTGAAATAAAGGAAGTTTAAAAATTAGATGTCTCATTACAGGAAGTAGTTAGGAAGGCAGTGTAAGTCACATGCAGGGAGGTGTGACTAGAGCTTCATAAACAAAATGATTTAACTCGTAAATAACAGAGAATTGAGCAGTGAAACTGCAGGGCTACGGTCTATATACTAAAACTTCTTCATTGTCTATAGTGTCCCTTTAATAAAGCAGTGTTGGTGTATAAACCAAACCAAAATCTCACTGTTCAGTTTTCTGTCACTAAGGAATTAAAAAAATACAGATGGCTTACTCTTTTATAATTTATATATTTGTATAAATACTTTTGCTGAAGAACAAGAGCTTTTATTTAATGTTTTCAAATGATTAGTAGGATTTGGTATATGTTTAATAAATTGTCTACAGTCTACATGACCTTATGGTCATATCGATAATCTCTTCGAACCAATGTATGGTTACATTAGCATTCAGTTAATTAAATAAAAGTGGATGCATGCCGCAATAAAGCACTTTCAAATGAATCACACACTGTCCTTGACACCAGCTTACGTCAGTGTGGTATATCTGGTTTTTGCCGTAATTTTAATTTGTGTTCAGGATTGTTAATTACAGCATACTCTGCTTCCCAAGTGCTCTTTAAAGCTTGTCAAAAGTTTGGGGGCAGAAGCCCAAGTACCAGGGTCATAATAAGTGTTAGTTACATATTTATGTGTATTGCAGCGTATGTGTGGTAGCATGTGCATGCGTATTTTTGGCAGTGTATGTATGTATGTAAATATAAACCTGCATTCAAACACCAAAACCACACACAAATCCAAACCTGTATTCACAAACACATACATTATACAAAATCAACTCTGCATTCAAACATCAAAACTACACACCTGTATTCACAAACACATACATTATACAAAAACAACAATGCATTCAAACACCAAAACTACACACAAATTCAAACCTGTATTCACAAACACGTTACAGTATCCAAAAACAACTCTGCATTCAAACACCAAAACTATGCGTAGCTGTATTCACACACATACAGTATTCAAAAACAACTCTCCATTCAAACACCAAAACTATGCGTAGCTGTATTCACACACATACAGTATTCAAAAACAACTCTGTATTCAAACACCAAAACTATGCGTAGCTGTATTCACAAACACATACAGTATCCAAAAACAGCTCTGCATTCAAACACCAAAACTATGCGTACCTGTATTCACAAACACGTTACAGTATCCAAAAACAACTCTGCATTCAAACACCAAAACTATGCGTAGCTGCATTCACAAACACATACAGTATACAAAAACAACTCTGCATTCAAACACCAAAACTATGCGTAGCTGTATTCACAAACACATACAGTATACAAAAACAACTCTGCATTCAAATACTCAGACACTGTATAAATATAACCTTGCAAGGACGGGCAAAAGGTAGAACCCTGGCTCGCGGAGCATCAAGGGACCCAATTGGAGTTTATTTCAACTTGAGCTTTATTGGCCTAAATGGGCAAGTTCTTTGCCAGTTCTCAACAGTTCTTAGTTTAGTAAATAATGCTGACTCAAAGTTATTCACTAAAATGTGAATTGTCAGGAAATCGTCAGGGAATTGCAAGTTTAAGTAGAAAATAGCTGTGCTAGAAGCATAGCTGATTGGACAATTTTCCTAGTACGGATTTTTTAGCATAAAATTTGCAATTCCCCAGTGAATTCCAGGCATTTTACGATTCAGTCTTTGCTACAAGAACCAATTGTAGTTTTATATTGAGAACAATTCTGGGCCAGTATTCTAAACAAGGAGCAATCGGCATGATTTGGTTTCCATGGTTACTTCTCTACATATAGAACTTTGCTCCAGAAATGCTCTTTAACTACAACCGATGATACACACATCAGTTACCTCACAAGGCTGAAAATCTATTTTATGGAAAACATATATGTGTCTAGAACAGGGGTAGGCAACCTTTTAGTAGTATTGTGCCACAACAAGATCTTGAAGTCCCTTGGTGTGCCGGTCCAATTTTTTCAAAATGTAAGTGTGTATGTAGCCGTATTCTGCAAGTGTTATATATGAGTGCTGCAGCTGCTTGGTGGCATTGTATTTGTGCATATGTGGGCTATTATATTGTATATGTTCATGACTAGTTTGTGGTATTGTGTATAATACTTATGAACGTGGGCTGTGCAGGGCGGACTGGGGATACAAAGCAGCCCTGGAAAAAAAATTTGTGCCAGCCCCATAAGTCACTGCGCCATATATTGTCACGTGTAATATGTAAGGCTATGTCTTGCCAGGACAGATGATTGAGTAATATATATATATAGTGCTTTTTCTAATATAAAATATTAGTCCTTTCAGGGTAAAACGTTTAATTATACAGTAAGCATACTCACATGCAGACACAGGCAATTTCACTGACATCTCAATGACACACACAAGCTCATTGATACACAGCCTCATAGACAAACAATCTCACGGATATACATCAGCTCATTGACATAAAAACACAAGCTCACTCACTAGCAGGCACACGCATGCAAGCAAGCTCACTCACTAGCAGACGCACACACAGCTTAATGTGGTGGTACTGGTGTCTATAGCATGTCGCTACAGGCTTTTCAACGTAAACACTGACTTTTCAGAGAAAAGGCAGTGTTTACATTGCTTCAAAGTGACACTGCTAGTGACAGTCACTCAGACGGTCACTAGAGGTGCTTCCTGTGTTAGTGCACCTACATTCAGGGCCTCCACACTCTGTAGGTGCTGAACGTTCCCCATAGAGATACATTGATTCAATGCATCTCTATGAGGAGATGCTGATTGGAGTGGCGTTTTGCAGCCAATCCTATGGCAAAGCATTGGATTGGCTGAGATCATCAAGCTTGATGATCTCAGCTATAGAGGCAGGGCCAGTCGAGGGGAGACCAGCACGCTGCGTGGGGAAAAAAAAAGGTGAGCAAAAACACTATTTTTAAACACACATTTACACCATGACAGACACAGAAACACACATATACCATGACAGATACACACCCCATGACAGACACAAACACAGACACACACACCCCATGACGGACAGACACACACACACACCTGTGTGTCTGTCATGGGGTGTGTGTGTGTGTCTGTCTGTCCGTCATGGGGGGTGTGTATGTCTGTCTGTCCATCATGGGGTCGGACAGACAGACATACACACCCCCCATGACGGACAGACAGACACACACACACACCCCATGACAGACACACACACCCCATGACAGACACACACACCCCATGACAGACAGACAGACACACACACACACACACCATGACGGACAGACAGACACACACACACCCCATGACGGACAGACAGACACACACACACCCCATGACAGACCCCACACACACACACCCCATGACAGACACACACACCCCATGACAGACAGACACATACACACACACCGACAGACACTATGACACAGACAGACACACACACCATACAGACAGACACCATGACACGGACAGACAGACACACACAACATTCAGACTGACAAACACACACACACCATACATACAGACTGACACACACACACATCATACATACAGACAGACACACACACCATACAGACAGACAGACACACACACACCATACATACAGACACACACACACACACCATACATACAGACAGACACACCATACAGACAGACACACACAACATACAGACAGACAGACACATTACTAGTACCTGACACCAGGGGGAGGTCTTCTGGAGGCTGCTGGGGAGGTCTTCTGGAGGCTGCTGGGGAGGTCTTCTGGAGGCTGCTGGGGAGGTCTTCTGGCGGCCGCTGGAGTACTTGTCCTGGCGGCCGCTTGGGGAGCTGTGCTGTCTGTGCTCTCCCACCCTCGCGCGCTACTGAATGAGACCGGGGCCAGAATATGACGTCATATTCCGGCGCCGGTCTCATTCAGCTGCGCGCTGGGGAGCAGAGCCAGCACAGCTCCCCCAGCGGCCGCCAGGACAAGTACTCCAGCGGCCGCCAGAAGACCTCCCCAGCGGCCGACAGCAGACCCAGGTGTCTGCCCGGCCCCAGGAGCCGACGGCCCACCGGGAAATTTCCCGGTATTCCGGTGGGCCAGTCCGGCCCTGGGGCTGTGGGGAAGAGCTGCTTGTGGAATTTTGTGTGTGGTTGATATGTTACATTGTGTGTTTGGTGGTGTGTGTGTGTATGTGTTTGTATGGGAGATGCTGCTTGTGGGGTGGTGTGCATGTATGTATATGTTTATATGGAAGATGCTACTTGTGGGGTTGTGTGCATGTTTGTGGATTGTCAGTTGTGTTGTGTTTGTGAGGGACTATATGTGTGTATTTGTGTGTGGGCTGTTCGTATTATTTGTATGAGGGGGAGGGTTATTCTGCAGCTCTGTGTATATCTAGCAGTGTGGGTGGCTTCCCTGGGGTCCAATGGGAACTGGGCTGGCCAGGTACAGGCTAAGGCCAGGAGCTGTGATAGCTGCTGTGTGCTGCTCTACTTCAGTGCAGATTCCTGTTCACAAGTTGGGATGAATTGATCTGAGATCACTTCCTCTATGTGCTATAATGAGTAAAGTAAGAATTGTCTCTCACCACCTGTAATCACCGCTAGGTTTGCACTAACAGATAACTTAAGTCCCACTGGGATTCCTGATATTTATTTATTTACTTATTTATAAAATATTTTACCAGGAAGGATACATTGAGATTTGTCTCGTTTCAAGTATGTCCTGGGTCCACAAAATATTGCATTGATACAATAGGGGTACAATATTAAAAAAAATACAATATACAAACTATATATACATATATATACAGGGAGTGCAGAATTATTAGGCAAATTAGTATTTTGACCACATCATCCTCTTTATGCATGTTGTCTTACTCCAAGCTGTATAGGCTCGAAAGCCTGCTACCAATTAAGCATATTAGGTGATGTGCATCTCTGTAATGAGAAGGGGTGTGGTCTAATGACATCAACACCCTATATCAGGTGTGCATAATTATTAGGCAACTTCCTTTCCTTTGGCAAAATGGGTCAAAAGAAGGACTTGACAGGCTCAGAAAAGTCAAAAATAGTGAGATATCTTGCAGAGGGATGCAGCACTCTTAAAATTGCAAAGCTTCTGAAGCGTGATCATCGAACAATCAAGCGTTTCATTCAAAATAGTCAACAGGGTCGCAAGAAGCGTGTGGAAAAACCAAGGCGCAAAATAACTGCCCATGAACTGAGAAAAGTCAAGCGTGCAGCACTTGCCACCAGTTTGGCCATATTTCAGAGCTGCAACATCACTGGAGTGCCCAAAAGCACAAGGTGTGCAATACTCAGAGACATGGCCAAGGTAAGAAAGGCTGAAAGACGACCACCACTGAACAAGACACACAAGCTGAAACGTCAAGACTGGGCCAAGAAATATCTCAAGACTGATTTTTCTAAGGTTTTATGGACTGATGAAATGAGAGTGAGTCTTGATGGGCCAGATGGATGGGCCCGTGGCTGGATTGGTAAAGGGCAGAGAGCTCCAGTCCGACTCAGACGCCAGCAAGGTGGAGGTGGAGTACTGGTTTGGGCTGGTATCATCAAAGATGAGCTTGTGGGGCCTTTTCGGGTTGAGGATGGAGTCAAGCTCAACTCCCAGTCCTACTGCCAGTTCCTGGAAGACACCTTCTTCAAGCAGTGGTACAGGAAGAAGTCTGCATCCTTCAAGAAAAACATGATTTTCATGCAGGACAATGCTCCATCACACGCGTCCAAGTACTCCACAGCGTGGCTGGCAAGAAAGGGTATAAAAGAAGAAAATCTAATGACATGGCCTCCTTGTTCACCTGATCTGAACCCCATTGAGAACCTGTGGTCCATCATCAAATGTGAGATTTACAAGGAGGGAAAACAGTACACCTCTCTGAACAGTGTCTGGGAGGCTGTGGTTGCTGCTGCACGCAATGTTGATGGTGAACAGATCAAAACACTGACAGAATCCATGGATGGCAGGCTTTTGAGTGTCCTTGCAAAGAAAGGTGGCTATATTGGTCACTGATTTGTTTTTGTTTTGTTTTTGAATGTCAGAAATGTATATTTGTGAATGTTGAGATGTTATATTGGTTTCACTGGTAATAATAAATAATTGAAATGGGTATATATTTGTTTTTTGTTAAGTTGCCTAATAATTATGCACAGTAATAGTCACCTGCACACACAGATATCCCCCTAACATAGCTATAACTAAAAACAAACTAAAAACTACTTCCAAAAATATTCAGCATTGATATTAATGAGTTTTTTGGGTTCATTGAGAACATGATTGTTGTTCAATAATAAAATTAATCCTCAAAAACACAACTTGCCTAATAATTCTGCACTCCCTGTATATATATATATATATATATATATATATATATATATATATACACACATACACACATATAGAAGTTTAACACATAACATGTGATAAATATATTCAACCATGACAGGTGCATTATGTGCTGAGGTATATTGCCATAGATCTCTTAAAAGATATGCCAGAGCCTGTTTGTCTCTGGCAGCTTTGAGTGCCGTGCAAAGGCACCTGGGGTGCAACGCATGGTACACGTGCCATAGGTTGCTTACCCCTGGTCTAGAAAATAAAGATTTATTTTACAGAAAATCTGTTTTATATCGCAAAAAAAAATTGAATTATTGCCACGGTTTATTATACGACCAGTGTTAATACAGTGTGATATCAAAGTAGGGATTTAACCCTGACAAAAAAGTCTAAAACATGTTCAAAAGCAATTGCTTAAGGCATGCAACGCAGAGAATTTTCAAGAGTTGAGAATAATCTTCACTGACAGAATGGTAATATTTTTAGTGACAGAACAATTTGTTAAGATGATTTATAATGGCATATATGAAGAATAGCTAATATTTTAATATTATCCACGAATATTTTCCAATTTTTTTACTGTTTAAATTATTTTTTACATGTAGAACAAAGTACTTGCATTTTGTGCTTTAAGGGACACCATAAGTACCCAGACCACTTCATCCCCTTAACTCTAAAAAGCAAAACAGAAACTGCAATGCTTACACAGCAGGGCTAAGACAACCTCTAATGAGTATCTTCCAAACAGCGGCCACTATAGGTGCCTCTTGGACCCTAACAAAGTTTTACTCTGTGAAATAACTTTGGAAATCCTCATGCTTTTTAAATGAGAATGTCTAAAATATGATTCCCCACAGGAAAGCATTGATTCAATGCAGAACCTCTAATGTGCGCATGGCGCTCGGCGCGCATGTGCATTAGGTTCTATCACCTGTGTGATGTTGAGGGAGTTGGAGACCTGTAAAGAGGTAAGTGGCAAAACATGTTTTTTAACCCTTTACTGATTAGAGTTGAAGGACCTAATAAGTAAGAGGCATATGATTGTATTGGTAACAGTATAGTGGTCCTCTAAATTGTGCTAATTGAAAAATCAGTGGGGAAACGCCATCATGTTAAATGTGATGTTTTGTGACCAGAACCTAAATGTTTGATGCTGTATGCCAACAGAGGCCTATCCCCCATTCACCCTGAGACCCTGACAAAATTGATTACTGAACTTCAAATATGAATCCAAATTTGCCAAATTATTCAGCATAACTGATTTTCCAGGTTAGCCAAAATGTTAAACCCTCTATGGGAAAAATGGGTAGATAAATCATCTTTCTTCTTCCCCTTACAATACTTCCCCTAACTTCACTCCCTCTGCTGTTCTATGTTCATTCGCACCCGCTACATTGGAAGAGATTTCTGCTCTGTTCCAGTCCTCCCGCCCCACCACCTGCTCCCCAGATCCAATTCCCTCGCATCTCATCCGTACTCTGTCTTCTTCTCTTTCTCCACCTCTCACTAAAATTCTCAATCTCTCTCTCTCCTCTGGTATATTTCCATCACCCTTCAAACATGCAACGGTAACCCCAATTCTAAAGAAGCCCAATCTTGACCCTAACTCCCTGTGGCGAGGCTAACCTCGCCACTGGGTTATGGAGAAGCTTGGTTGCCAGACTCCTGCCTCATGACTATGGCCCCTCTAATCACCCCATGCTAGACTTAACCCCATGGCGATTTTGTTCTGTTTGTGGGATCTGAGCGCTGTTCGGATAAACTGAGCGCTCAGAATGATCCAAGCAATCTGGGGATAGGTGGGGGTTCTGTTCAGTGTAATGGGAATTATGTATTTTTGTGTATTTTTACTGTTGTTGTGA